AAAAAGAAACTCTCGATGTAAAGAGAAGTAACTATTAGAAACTTTCTTATTCAACCTCGAGGAGTCCGATTCTAGCTAGATTTTCTTTACGAAATCTTCATTGAACCTTGTGGAGAAGCACTTTGGGTTCTCGAATCGTCCAAGATAATCAAGAATCGTGGAAGACATGTGGTAGGTTTTCTAACTTTTTAGGCGGTATTTTAAAAGATCCATAAGATTATTTGGTTGTTTTGGTCTGAGTTTTTTGATATGTTGATCTAGAACCGATGCTACGCAAGTTTTATGAAGAAACTTTGAAAAGATTCAAGCTGAAAGTTGGAGTATCGATGGAGCCTCATGTTGCTGTAAGAACATGTAACCGTCCAATTTTAGTTGTGAATATATTTGTATGTGGTTGATTTAAAATTATAAGAAAAATGTATTTTTATAGACGGAGTAAAGCTCTACGATTTTGGTGAAGGAACATCTGAGTTTTTATTGATGGTGTTAATATAACACATGCTGAAGCAATTTGGATCTTAGGCCCTTTTGGACATCAATTATAGTAAATAACTAGCATGTTCATAAGTATTAAAACTTAATGAGTTTGAATACTAACCTTTTATAGTTCAAAGTCCTTTTTCCTCACGAACCGGTTTCGAACCACCACTAGTGTCTTCTCCACTATCCTCCGATCTTAGAACGGGATTGTGGAATCCGGTGAGTGACTAAACTTGGGAGAGATTTTGTATATATGAAAAGAGTGTTTGTGAGAGGTTTTTTTCAAAGTTTTTCACCAAGGAAGATCTTCCATGTACCCTAATCACTCTATTTATAGAGTTATGTTTGCATGTTCATGCAAATTTGAGATCACCAAATTTTGACACTCAAAATTCCACTCAAATGTTTGGGATTATGCGGCAAGCATGCAAGTTTGAGTTCACCAAATTTTGACACTCAAAATTCCACTAAAATTTGTGGGGTTTATTTGGCAAGCATGCAAGTTTGGTTAAACCAAATTTTGACACCTCAAAATTCCACTAACATTGATTTTTCCATTGAATGAAGTAACATTTTGACTTTCTTCATTTTAATTCAACAATTAATTTGAATAATTAATTTCAAATTAAAGTAATATTAAATTATTAATTAAACTATTTAATTAATATTTAATATTAATTCAAATGCCAATCCCATTCAATTCCAACACATAAATAAGATTAATATCTTAGATTATCTCTTTTTGTTTAATTCGTAAATAAAACAAAAATGCGGTTAAATATATCGTATATATGTAGCATATATTCCCTAATTTGAATTCAAACACTTTAAACTCACTCGTCACACTGTTCTATGGTTTAGTCCGATATAAGCTAGCAGATGAACCTAATGGACCTATACTCATGGGCTCCAACAATCCAAGATTAACCGATTAAACTCATTAACTTTGTTAACCAACATTCGTTAACAACTAGGACACTCCACTATAGCCTAGTAGTTGCACTCCCCTCACTATAGATATATTTCTGTCCATTTGTATAACCATGATTAGTAAGTTGATCCTTCACAGGTTGTTCGTAACTAGAGCTGGGTCAATTTACCGTTTTACCCATGAAGTTACTTTTTGTTCCTTATGTCCCACTGATCCTCTTATGAATAATTGGTTTGTGGTCCAACCAGTAAACCGAATTCCTCTCAGACCAATGAGAGGGTGGGGCCCCTTGTTCAAGACCTGGAGTGAGTTCTCATAAAACCCAACATTTATGAGAAGTTATGACTATAACAATTTGATTTTGAAAAAAAAAACAGCATTTAATATAGCTGGAAATCACGCGATTTCAAGCTAGGCATTTATTTCATATTCAAAACTATTCCCCAAACCCTTTAAATTTCTCTATGCTCAAACCTCCCAACCGGTATTTTGAAAGTGTTGTACTAACCTCCAAAAGGCAAACCCTTGTGGAGGCATGAAATAATGTCATCGGAATCATTAGTATTCTCACTAGGAAAAAGAGAAGGGAATCGCAAGGATTTTCGATCTGTATTCGGGTGAAGAAGATAAGTTGACGAGCCAGTTATTCGGATTCGGATTCATGTTTCAAACCCATGGCTCCATCCTCAGCCCCCAAGTTCCAAGCTCAATCTGTAGCCCACTCCAATCTACCTAGAAATTACGGCCCAAACACAAAACCATTTGTTTGTTGGGTTTTATGTCCTAAAACTCATAGTTTGTAAATAAAAACATATTCTGTTTTCAATAAAGTTATTATTGATGTTTATTCAGCAAAGATTGTTATTGAATAAAGTGAATTTTACGATCATTAATCTAAATCCAATAAACTAAGAACACTCTGGCTATAGTATGATTGCTTGAACTATATGTAGAGACATAAGAGTGGATCAAGTTCAAGTATATAGTCAAAATGATGTATAGTATAGGGATAAAGCTGAGTACCTTATTCTGAGGATACTATGGATGCGGTCCACTTTTATATATGAGATAAACAATGTGATCACTAAATTGTACATGTGGAGACATGTGAGTGGGGGCATCCTATGCGATGAGTATTGCATAAGATCGGACAATAAAGAAAATCACTCTCACTTTATGATGCCGTTTACTGTTGAGACTGATTTTTTCACTCAATGACGAAGGTAACTCAGCCTTAATCTTGAGCTAACTATGAACTTCTGTTTATTAAGAATTATCCTTAGATTTGCATGGGTAAGAGTGGCTTGAATTCGCCGACTCAATAAGCCTCCCATTTCAAGGGTAAGACTGGGTGAATATCTGGGGACATAGGGTGCAAGATAGAATTCATTTCTACCCGCTTTGAGGGATAGTAGAGAGGTTGTTCCCTTAAGTACTGAGTCTAGGTCTTTAGGGATTCGGTTTGGTGGTTGAACCACAAACCAATTGTTCATTAGAGGATCAGTGGGACTTAACAAACAAGAAGTAACTTTAGGGGTAAAAATGGTAAATTGACCCAACTCTGGTTACGAACAACCTGTGAAGGATCGACTTACTAATCATGGAGGAGCGAGGGGACACTAATGTCTGCTATTTGAGGAGCTTAGAGGAATACTGGAAAAGGAGTTCAATCAGTCTAACAAATAAGAGGATTAGGAAAGGAAGTTCGAAGTCTAAAGGGGATAAGGCTGAAGGTCGTCTTCATCAGCTATGAACCTGGGAGCAAGACATAAAGGCTTTATGATCCTACCGGGGAACGAGCTCACGTGTCACGCAATATTGTCTTTGATGAGAAAACCTTATGGTAGTGGAACGACGTGGTCGTGGCAGACCAAAACCCAGAACAATTCACAGTGGAGTACTTCGTCACCGAGCCGGGAGAAGGAGCACAACACCAGGCACTCTCACCGCCGCTAACAATTGCACTAGGCACGTCTACACAAACACCGAGCACAACTCTTGAGGCTCCCCTTGAACTAGTGGAGTTCGCAACACCACGTACTATGGATTTAACGCTTGATGTTGATCACGATGATGGTCTAACGGCCAGGTAACGGATTATTGAAGACCTACTAGGAGAAGGTGAACCACTAGGACTGGCGGCACGCGAGCTCGAAGAAAAGGTGTCGAATTGCATGCCATCAGCGCAGATGAACCGAACTCTTTCGCCGAAGTAGAGAACAACCCATGCTGACTGAAGGCAATGCAGGAAGTGATGACGTCCATCACTGACAATAAGATGTGTTGTCTAGAGGATATGCCGTAAGGACACCGAGCCATGGTATTCAAGCTAAAGCATAACGAAGAGGGAGAAGTTTTGAAGCACAAGGCCCGTCTGGTGGTGAACGACTACGTCCAGAAGCAAGGGGTGGACTTCGAAGAGGTGTTCGCCGGTGGAAAGGTTGAAATCTGTTCGCTTGTTACTGGCGATCGAGGGACATCACTCCTGGGAGGTCCACCACATGAACGTGAAGTCAGCTTCCCTCAACGAAGAGCTGAAGGAGACCGTCTACGTCCGACAACCACCTTGCTTCATCGATAACGACAACTCCGGCAAGGTACTGCACCTGCACAAGATGCTTTACGGGTTTTGACAAGCACTACGAGCCTGGAACAAGAAGCTCGACAGTACCTTGTTATCGCTCATGTTCAAGCGTTGTGCCTCTAAGCATGGGATGTAGACGCGCGACCAAGGCGAGCAGTGGCTGATCGTGGAAGTGTACGTCGATGATCTCATAATCACTAGAGGCAACATGAAAGTTCTTGGAAGATTAAACAGGGAAATGAGAAAGCCTTCAAAATGAGCGACCTCGGCGCACTCAACTACTACCTTGGCATCGAAGTGCAGCAGAGTACTAACGGCATCACCATCTGTCAAAGTGCGTACGCGAAGAAGCTACTGGAAACAGCAGGGCTGGTAGACAGTAACCCTACGAGGACGCCAATGGAGGCCTCACTCAAATTGACGAGAACCTTTCCCTGGTAGGGGCATTTAAAAACTGAGGCATGCATTATAATTGTGGTAGGGGCATTTAAAAACATTCATTATAATTGTGGTAGGGGCATTTAAAAACTGAGGCATTCATTATAATTGTGGTAGGGGCATTTAAAAACTGAGGCATTCATTATAATTGTGGTAGGGGCATTTAAAAACTGAGGCATTCATTATAATTGTGCTTGGTGCTTCTCCCTCGTACAAATTTTCAATCAACATCGATTTGTGATGGTCTTTGTACGAGAACTAACTAAACAATCATATTTTGACACTCTTAAAAAGCAATGGTGAGTTCACAATTGATATCTACCACGGAACGAGTTCCATTTTTGAACAGTTCGACACAAGTCCATAACGGAGGTAATAGATATTAACCACTTGGCCACGAGTTTTGCCTAACAATAACATGGATGGATGTCAGAAGTGGGATTTGAACCCACGCGAGGTTACGAGGACCAGAACTTGAGTCTGGCGCCTTAGACCACTCGGCCATCCTGACTACTAATTGTACATTCATGGATTGGTTTGGGAGGGAAATTTATCATTCCGTATATGGGTGTGTAAACGTCTCCCAAGTAGACGCGTTTTAAAACTGTGAGGCTGACTACGGTACGTAACGGATTAAAATAGATAATATCTACTGGCTGTTGGAGAGAGGAACGAAACAATCCTAATAAAGGTGCAAAAACCTCTCCCTAATAGGCGCGTTTTAAAACTGTGAGGCCCATGGCAATACCTACTGGGCAAGAATGAACAATGTCTGGTAGCAGTGGGCTTGGACTTTTAAAAATGAAATCAGAGCTAGTCACTAGGCGATGTGCCAGTGAGGACGCTTGGCACTCAGAAGGGGTCGATAGTGAGAAACCACATCGACTAGAGAGGTAAAGAAACATTTCTTGCAAGGGTCTGAAAACCTATCCATAGTAGATTCGGTTTAAAACCGTTAGAGATACCGAGACGTAACGAACGAAAGCAGACAATATCAACTAACGGTGGTCTTGGATTGTAATAAAATATTGGCTGGAATAGCTCAGTTTGCACCAGGTTGGAGGTTCAAGCCCTCCTTCTAGCGATGTGTGAAAGAAGCGTGCCTTATAATTGTGTTTGGTACTTCTCCCTGGTACAAATTTTCAATCAACATCGATTTGGGATGGTCTCATATACGAGAACTGACAAAACAATCATGTTTTGACGCTTTTAATGTTCACAATTGATATCCACCACGGAACGAGTTCCATTTCTTAGCGTTGAAAAGTTAGAAACGAGCCCATAACGGTGGTAGTAGATATTATCCACTTTGCCACGAGTTTTGCCTAACCAATAAACATCGATGGATGTCAGAAGTGGGATTTGAACCCACGCCCTCTTACGAGGACCAGAACTTGGCTGACACGTTTTAAAACTGTTTGGCTGACGACTATACATAACGGATTAAAATAGATAATATCTATTGGCTGTTGGAGAGAGAAACGAAACAATCCTAATAAGGGTTCGAAAACCTCTCCCTAATAGGCGCGTTTTAAAACTGTGAGGCCCAGTGCAATACCTACTGGGCAAGAATGAACAATGTCTGCCGGCAGTGGGTTTGGAATTTTACAAATGAAATAAGAGCTAGTCACTAGGCGATGTGCTAGTGAGGATGCTTGGCACTCAGAAGGGATCGATAGTGAGATCCCACATCGATTAGAGAGGTGAAGAAACATTTCTTGCAAGGGTCTGAAAACCTATCCATAGTAGATTCGGTTTAAAACCGTGAGGGAGATACCGAGACGTAACGAACGAAAGCAGACAATATCAACTAATGGTGGTCTTGGATTGTAGTAAATGATTGGATGGATTAGCTTAGTTGGTTAAAGCCTCCTTCTAGCGATGTGTGAATGAAGCATGCCTTATAATTGTGTTTGGTTCTTCTCCTCCCTGGTAGAAATTTTCAATCAACATCGAATTGTGATGGTCTCGTGTACGAGAACTAACTAAACAATCATGTTTTGACACTTTTAAAAAGCAGTGCTGAGTTCACAATTGATATCCACCACGGATCGAGTTCCATTTCTTAGCGTTGAAAAGTTCGACACAAGCCGGTAGTAGATATTATCCACTTTGGTACGAGTTTTGCCTAACAAAATAACATGGATGGATGTCAAAAGTGGGATTCGAACCCACGCCCTCTTGCGAGGACCAAAACTTGAGTCTGGCGCCTTAGACCACTCGACCATCCTGACTACTAATTGTGCATTCCTTGATTGGTTTGGGAGGGGAATTTATCATTCCGTATATGGGTGTGTAAACGTCTCCCAAGTAGACGCGTTTTAAAACTGTGAGGCTGACTACGATACGTAACGGATTAAAATAGATAATATCTACTGGCTGTTGGAGAGAGGAACGAAACAATCCTAATAAGGGTGCGAAAACCTCTCCCTAATAGGCGTGTTTTAAAACTGTGAGGCCCATGGCAATACCTACTGGGCAAGAATGAACAATGTCTGGTAGCAGTGGGCTTGAATTTTTAAAAATGAAATCAGAGGTAGTAACTAGGCGATGTGCCAGTGAGGATGCTAGGTGTCACGGTCATGCTTGTCTAGGGCATGTTGCCCATGGCCGCATATGCCGATGACAAGCCAAACCCTTGTCATGTCTTTGCATTCTAGTGTTTTTCCTTTTGTAATAATAGAGCGTATGACACCTCAAAATTATCATGTCTCGGCCTGCCAGAACTAAAATGGCCCAGAATGAACTATAAGGAGATATGACTAGTCGTCAACTTCTCCCTACCCAAGGTTATATATGTTAAGTCGTTGTTATCTTTCTCTTGCTTGCTTATATAACGTCTCTTTCTAAAATCTCTCTTTCTAAAATCTCTCTCTCTCCTCGTTTTCTAAAACCTTCTTTTAAAACCAAGGCTAGACGCTCGACCGTCTGTCGCTTGGCCGTAGGCGACGCAAGAACAAATTGGCTTAACTCACTTGCCGCTGGAGAGTGAGTGCCGCACAATCGCTAGTCCGCAGCCTTTGAAAGTGTGATTCTGTCAAGTGGTATCAGAGCTTTGTTAGCTCCATAACGTCATACAGACCGAGATCATGTCGACGACAAAGTCGACACCCAAAGCACAAGCCGACCAGCTTACGCTAATAGAGGAGGAAATGCTGTTCCTCAAAGAAGTCCCTGACACCCTCCGTTTCCTAGAAACACGGGTGACCGAACTGAGTGAGAAAGTCGTCCAAGTCGATGCAATGGGCAACCGCCTGGATGGGTTGCCAATCGCAGAACTGATGTTTCGAGTGACCTCGCTCGAAGAAAGAGTTGCTCCTACTAGCAGCCCAAAACCGTCTGATAGTCCGCATAGCTCTGTCGCACACAAAGAGGGACGTGGCGAAGAGTTCGAAGTACTACAAAACACAATGATGAGTTTGTTCAATGGACTGGCTGATGAATTCAGAACAACAGTCGACGACCTCCAAGAAAGGATGGCCGCCATGAGCACTCGAATTGAAGTTACCATGAAAGCCGTGGAAGGCGTCACGGCTGGACAAACTAGTGCAAGATCCAACAAACTAAGGTTCCTAGACCCTAGAGCCTTCAAAGGGAATCAGGACGCCAAAGAGTTGGAGAACTTCATCTATGACGTCGAACAGTACTTCAAAGACACAACGGCTTGTACCGACGACAAGAAGGTGACTGTAGCCGCGATGTATCTCATAATCGACGCCAAACTGTGGTGGCGTACGAAGGTGCAAGACATCGAGGATGGATTGTGCACCATTGACTCATGGGAGGACCTCAAGAGAGAGTTGAGGGAACAATTCCTCCCCGAAAACGCAGGGCATATAGCAATGGAGAAAATAGTAGCCCTGAAACACACTGGAAACATACGAGACTACGTCAGACAGTTCTCAACCCTGATGCTGGATATCAGGGGCACAGCAGAGAAGGACAAGGTGTTCTTCTTTATAAATGGTCTACAGCCATGGGCCAAAACAAAGATACATGAGAACACGGTCCAAACCCTAGCTGCCGGAATGGCCTGCGCCGAAGACTCGTGGACTGTGGGAACGAAGCAGGATCCCAAAGAAGAGCGACACCAGCCCTAAACAATGGGGGCAAACCATACAGACCACCAGGCCATCGAAATGGAAGCCCCAACAGACCGAGTGGATGGACGGATAGACCTCCTCAGAACAATCAAGCGGGGACATCTTGAGGGCCATCAAAAGAACCACCCGACGACGCCTTTGCAATGCATACTGTGTAAAGGCCCCCACAAGGTATCCTACTGTCCTCATCGGGCCTCTCTCACTGCTCTCCAAGTGTCCATTCAAGAGAGCAATGAGGCAAGGGTCGAGACTTTGCTAGACAAGAAGGAAGATCACGACAACCCCCGAATGGGCGCACTCAAATTCTTGTCAGCCCTCCAACGGAAAGTTGAACCGAAGGAGATAATAGAGAAAGGGCTCATGTTCGTAGATGCCACAATAAACTCTCAACCGAGCAAGAGCACTCTGATAGACTCTGGAGCAACCCACAACTTCATTGCCGATCAAGAAGCCAGAAGATTGGGACTCACCATAGGAAAAGACCCGGGGAAAATGAAAGCTGTCAACTCCGAGGCCTTGCCTATTGTGGAAGTTTCTAAAGGAGTCCCCTTCAAAATAGGGGATTGAACTGGAGAGCTAGACCTTGTCGTGGTTCGCATGGATGACTTCGACGTGGTACTTGGGATGGAGTTCCTCCTAGAACACAAGGTCATCCCAATGCAATTGGCAAAATACTTGGTGATCACCGACCGTAACCCCACAATAATACCTGCAAGCATCAAGCAACCAGGTAATCTTTGAATGATCTCGGCCATACAGCTGAAAAGGGGACTTGCACGAGAGGAACCTACATTCATGGTCATACCACTGATAGAAGAAGCAACCACTGAAGAGACTGTCCTAGAGGAAATCAAGGAAGTACTAGACAGCTATACCGACGTAATGCAAGAGAGTCTACAACAAACACTACCACCTCGTCGAGGCATTGACCACGAAATCGAACTCCTCCCCGGGGTTAAGCCGCCAGCGAAGAACGCATATCAGATGGCTCTGCCCGAGCTAACCGAATTGAGGAAACAACTGGACGAGTTGCTGAAGGCGGGATTCATTCGCCCGACAAACGCACCTTATGGAGCCCCCGTACTGTTCCAAAAGAAGAAGAATGGGACGTTGCGTCTGTGCATAGACTATAGAGCCTTAAACAAGGTGACGGTACGCAACAAATATCCTCTGCCGATAATATCTGACTTTTTCGACCAACTTCACGGGGCCAAGTACTTCACGAAGTTGGACTTACGATCAGGATATTATCAAGTACGTATTGCCGAAGGGGACGAACCCAAGACGACGTGCGTAACAAGATATGGGGCCTTTGAATTCCTAGTAATGCCCTTTGACTTGACAAACGCCCCAGCTACGTTCTGCACATTGATGAACCAGGTTTTCTACGAATACCTGGATCAGTTCG